AACAAATTACTGTAACAGTGATAAATTTTTTGTAGTTTTTGGGTGATAGTAGCTGTTTCTTGGGATGCTAAAGTTCATTCTACAGTCGATAACGACTTTCAAAACTAACCATCAGGATGAGAAACCATCTTTGTAGTTATCAACAATTTATATTTTAAATCAAAATGCTGTCATCGCCAAACCTGGTTGAAAGTAATTATTCCTTGGATGGTAAACTGGTACCACCTGGCGGATAATAGCAAATGGTACTTTCATATGCTACAGTACCATGAGTAAATCCTAGACCGCTTTCATCAGTAGTATGTATTATGAGATTTATAAAAAATGTACTAAAATCACTATGAACTAACAATAAATAGTTAGACATCGTAGCTTGACACTGGGCATCCTTCGCTTTGATTTTTGTTCGTTCTGAAGATATTTAAGAGTGCTCTTCAGTCAGATTTTGGTTATTGAATAAAGTTGAATTCTTTGAAAATAAATACTTCATCCTCAAAATAATACTTCAATTCGATTAATGTCCCTATTGAGATATTTTACAGCAAACTCTCATGATCCGGCTCTCTGCCTATAAATAAAGCAATTAGAAAAAGTTGCGTAGGTTTTTAACTCGATGAAAACGTCCGTGCCCATATAGAACAAAATATAATCAGCAGGTAAGTCCAGTCATCCGAGAATAAAGGTCATTGTGTTCTTCGTGGTGTTTGCAAATATCCTCCTAGAGAGAATGGACGGATTACAAAATTGGGTGTCGCAAACAGTTCGTTAGTGTATTCGTTCGCTGTAGTTAGTTTGCACTGTATATTGTGCTGTGTAAATAGTGGTCGAAATGGTGTTCCAATACATCTATAGTAGCCTTGTTGACGTGGTGTTTAAATCTACAGCGAAGGTCTCGAATTATTTGGCGTATGCGTTGCTGACAGGTATATCTTAGAATTTCACATTGAGATAAGTTTGATTTGAAGGAGATATCGATATACAAGCTGATTCGAATTAGGTGCGCACTATCGATGAATTTCATATAATGGCAGATAGGAAACCAGCCAAATCGGAAAACTACAGTAGCAGTTTTGAGTTAAGTTATTGATATGCAAGATACAAAAACATTTGAGTAACGGATTTTTGACTTTCAGAATGAAATACTTTTTTCTTACTTCCAATCATGAAAGTCCCCTCTTCTCAACTTTTGAATGAAACTGGATATCTATGTCCCGACAAAATTTACATAAAAATGTTTCATTATCAGTACTTTCTGGCAAAAAAATAGTGTGGAGATAGCGCTCTCAACTTTTTTTCAATAGAAATAAAAATAGTAATATTAACGAGATTCGTTTGAAGGTGGTTGACAATGTTTCGTGGTGCATTTCATCAGTTCGGACTTCCATTATTTAATATGATATAAATTGGGTAAATTTTCGTTATGTGGACACCCGGCGATTTTGAAAACATTTTTGACTGTAAGTTCATTGACGATTAAACCATTTATATTTCGGGATTAGCGAATAATAATGAACATTTTTTAATTAAAATAGCTTAATTGTTTTTCGAAATATTCAGTACACTCTTGCATTCGTTCAAACCATTCGCCAAAGGAGATATTCCATTCATCTTGAGACCACTCCAAAACATGGTTTTTGAACGCTTAATTCAATGTTTCGACTGCTCCAAAATTGGCCTGTTTGGCGATATGAGTGAGAGATCGCATTTGAGAATGATTCGTCTTCGGCGGTTAGTTTTACGAGTTTCTATGGAGACTTCTGGCAAAAAAATGGTCGTGTGCCACTCAGAATTGACCGTTCTATGTTGCTCAAGATGAACAGTGGCCACATGACCAATTCAGCCGAAGAAACAGGCAACCATTTGCATCGCTTCTTCCACGAACAACTTTTGTTAGATTTAGCTCGTTTTGGATTATCCCCAGGGTCGATTACTGTTTTGTTTCTGGCTCAAAAGCATATATCAATGATTTTATATACGTCTTTTGAAGCACCACCGTCGAACTTTTTATTCATTTCCTCACACCACTTGACGCGAGCCTTTTTTGAACGATCGGTAAATTATGGGGTATCCAACCAGAACAACTAAGAATTCATGTAGAATCGAATGTATTGAAGGGCAACTTAGCTGCATGGATGCTTATATCTCACAATATATCACATAACGATCTTGCACAGTTAATGCACTGCATCGATGTTTTGTGGCACAACAACCGATTTTGGATGACCTTCACGGAATTCGTCGGCGATCGAACTAGACCACGATTGAATTCACTATACCAGTGATATACTGTGGTTTTTGATGGTGCTTTATCGTCATACAAAGAACTGAATTCATCGACACATTCTTGTTGAGATAATCCACGTCGAAATTTGTGAAAAATAATCCAACGAAAACATTATTTTGAAATTTTTATTTTTTGGTCAAATTGATTTTCTCACTTCAAACCAAACAAATAGCACTTGTGGGTGAATTTTACCTATTGACTATTTTACCACATTTTACCTATTGACATTAGTTCCCGGAATAAAAATCCATCGTATTCTGCAGTTGCACTAGTGACTCAACTAGGTATTCACTGGAAGTACATTTCATCAGAACATAGGCTGATAGACCGTCGTCGAATATAACTTGAAGTAACAAACATCTTGTCTGTTGTTATGGCGGTGAGTAGTATTTGCGTTGACTGTGAGGACGAAGGTTATATTTTGAGGTCAAAGCATATTCCACTGATGATGTGTGCCGCAGTAGCAGACGAAACTTCTGGTACTTTAGGTTCCATTCAAACACAGCCTGCCAGCCCATATTTTGTTCTATTTATTGCAATTTATCACTGTTTCATTATAAATGTATTGTTTATGATGCAATTGTGAATGTAGTTTTATAATGAAGATATCATTTTCTACCAAATTAAACAAATTGTTCATCATTTATGCTGACAAGTGTATGAGTTATATCGTCAAGATAGGCTTGGAAAGAGAGGAGGTAGCATTCTATATTAAGAATACTCTGAAATCAAATTGTATAATAAAGTGAGATTTCGCTCACAAATCCACGATGTGAATATCCGTCTTCTTTTTTTCTCAAGTCATCTTTTTCCAACGATATGTCCTAGGTTTATAATTTCATACCTATGGAAATGAGATATCTATTCAATTTGCATTTTAAAAATCAGTCACCGCTCTTATTGCAAATGACAAATTAATTATAGATCAGCTCGTATGGTCTGATATATTGTATTTTTCTCTGTGGTAGTTTTAATCTACCAAATGTATATATTTATCGTTCTGTATTTTAAGTAAAACTTTGAGTTTCACTTCATGATGTGGGAAAACTTTTGGAAAACTATTTGTGGAAGAGGGCGTCTTTTCGGTAAATCATCTTACCGTCAAGACCGAACTCTGCCTTTTGCCGGGTTACAATATAAGTTTGTATTTCATTTCATTGTTCTATTTTGTAGTTTCTGACAATAAAATCTATTTTTTTGTGTCATCGGCATCGAGTGCATTGGTCATTTGCCTCGTGTCCTGGGTAGCAATGTTTATAACTTCCCGAGCCACCTAGAGAGCATCATGGCTATTCGCAGTCCGTCAGCCATGTGAAGTTGCAGAATCATCCCAATTTCAACTAGATAAATTCTCTCGAGAAAAAAATCTGATCGAGGTTGGGATCGAACTCACGACCTTCCGATCGTGAGTCGGGCGCACCAATTTACCGCTATATTATTATTATTATTTCATGTCGTAGTTTGGACAGAAATGTACCTCTAGTTCAGTTGAAGGATATTATGAACGTGATATTTGTCAAAAAATTTTCACCCAGTAGGTTCCACTATTTTCTATTCACAGATAATAAAAACTGAAAACTATAGAAAACTTTCGACAAGGAGTTCAGGTAGAAGAATAATATCGACATAAAAGTACTTAAGTACTACGATTGAGTAACCCATCAACAATATGTTCTTTCATTGTCAAACACATTATGTTGAAGTTCATCAACTTTAATTTTCATAAAGCATTAAGATATCCAAAAACTCTATGGATCTGCTTCTTTGAGGGAGTAGTGGAAAGCCAAAAACTTTTTTCTCAGAAAATATAATCACTCTTAAAAATATAACACCTTCAATTCACAATGTATTTATCATACCTTATTTATGTGTAATACACACTTGTTTCAAAACTGCATTGGTTTTCAATTAGTTTTTTTATTTCTTTTTTTTAGTTTATTTATTTTTTATTTATTTTTGTTTTTTCTTTCTCCTTCAGAATTACCCACCCTACAGGGTGAACTCGAGATGCAGGTAGCTACGATGCCTTTGAATAGGGGTTTGCCTCCCGGTCCCCAGAAACATAACAAAAAGGAAGCAAAATTGATACAGCAACGCCTAGAGAGGTTGGCTAAAGTCAACAATCACATACCTGGTAAGAAAATGTTCCACTCTGCGTGGAGATAAAAACTCGGGCAAATAAAAATAATAATAATTGTTTATTCATATGTGATGGAATCGGCCGATACTTGATGAAAAACTATAACGTATTCATGGAACACTTTATTGCGAGATTTTCACTAAACAATTTTACCAAAACGCAACACGTGTTTCGCCATACAATAGCGTCATCAGGTGTGTGTTTACACGCGTTGCCTTGTTGTAAAACTTTTTGCCATATAATAGCTTCATCAGGCGTATCTTGACACGTGTTTTTTTTTGTAAAACATTTTTGCCATACAATAACTTCATCAGGCGTTTTTTGACACGTGTTGCCTGCGTGTAAAACTTTTTCACCATACAATAAGTCCATCAGGCATGCCTTGACACTTGTTTTCTTTTTGTAAAACTTTTTTGCCATACGATAGCTACATTAGGCGTGTGTTTACACGTGTTGCCTTTTTGTAAAACCTTTTCGCCATACAATAGCTTCATCAGGCGTGTCTTGACACGTGTTGCATATTTTTTTTAGTTTATTTATTTTTTATTTATTTTTGTTTTTTCTTTCTCCTTCAGAATTACCCACCCTACAGGGTGAACTCGAGATGCAGGTAGCTACGATGCCTTTGAATAGGGGTTTGCCTCCCGGTCCCCAGAAACATAACAAAAAGGAAGCAAAATTGATACAGCAACGCCTAGAGAGGTTGGCTAAAGTCAACAATCACATACCTGGTAAGAAAATGTTCCACTCTGCGTGGAGATAAAAACTCGGGCAAATAAAAATAATAATAATTGTTTATTTATATGTGATGGAATCGGCTGATACTCGATGAAAAACTATAACGTATTCATGGAACACTTTATTGCGAGATTATCACTAAACAATTTTACCAAAACGCAACACGTGTTTCGCCATACAATAGCGTCATCAGGCGTGTGTTTACACGTGTTACCTTTTTGTAAAACGTTTTGCCATATAATAGCTTCATCAGGCGTGTCTTGACACGTGTTTTTTTTGTAAAACATTTTTGCCATACAATAGCGTCATCAGGCGTGTCTTGACACGTGTTGCCTTTTTGTGAAACTTTTTCACCATACAATAGCTTCATCAGGCATGCCTTGACACGTGTTTTCTTTTTGTAAAACTTTTTTGCTATAAAATAGCTACATTAGGCGTGTGTTACACGTGTTGCCTTTTTGTAAAACCTTTTCGCCATACAATAACTTCATCAGGCGTTTCTTGACACGTGTTGCCTGTTTGTAAAATTCTTTCACCATACAATAAGTCCATCAGGCATGCCTTGACACGTGTTTTCTTTTTGTAAAACTTTTTTGCCATACGATAGCTACATTAGGCGTGTGTTTACACGTGTTGCCTTTTTGTAAAACCTTTTTGCCATACAATAGCTTCATCAGGCGTGTCTTGACACGTGTTGCCTTTTTGTAAAACTTTTTCACCATACAATAGCTTCATCAGGCATGCCTTGACACGTATTGCCTTTTTGTAAAACTTTTTCGCCATACAATAGCTTCATAGCGTGTTTTGTCACTTGTTGCCTTTTTATAAAACTGTTTAGTGAAAATCTCACAATAAAGTGTTTTTTGAATGATGTGTCTGTTTAGCTTTACATTACAGAGGCACAAAAATAGGAAAATGATGAAATACTGGGATTCAGTCAGACGAGCTATTTTTGAAACCTGCCTGCAATTTCTCAAATGAAAGTAATAATAACCCAGATTCACGAGGTGGACATGAAAAATAAAAATTGACTATTCAAATTATCTCAGAGATAATAGTACGGTGGAAAAAAAATCAGCTAACATAAAAGAGGAGGATCAAAAGATCAAAGATCAAAATCAGTTTCTAATCTTCCTCTTGAAAATTATCACTTAGTGATCGAAATACGTTTAGAGGTGTTAAAATAACGGTTTGTTGTTTAAACGTTTGTTTAAAATGTCATCATTTTATATATCAATTTTTCATCCTCCATGTGCCTTGAGAAACGATAATGATCTAACGAAATGAGGTGATAGGGGTGATATTTTATAACAAGTGATTGACTAATGAAAAAATTCAATAAACATGAATTTGTGAATTTTTTTTGTATACACGATTTTGAGGGATAAGACGCTGATGAAACATTTTGTAACAAGGCAGAAAGAGGAAAGATAGGTTAGGCTTAGTAAATTGTAAATATGAGATAAAGTTTGAATGACACTTCAACTACAATTATTTATCAATGCAGTTATCGAAGATACGTTTAACCACAACTCTACAAATCTGTTTTCTAGACTTTTTTATCGTTTCTGTGTGATAAACTTGATTTTAAGAATTTCATTTTTTCAATCTGATTGTGGCAAAAATCCGAAGCGTAAAAACCTAATCCAAATAAACAGTAAACTGTGACAACAATAAAGCATTCAAATGGCAATTCAGTTTTTGGGGTTCTCGAATTAACACATGGGCTGAAAAATTCCGGGTGTAAGAAAGGTAACGCTTTTTTTGTTGAAAATTACCTTTATTCGTCAACATAATCTCCATCAAGAGCCACACAATATTTCCAGCGCCTCTCTAACATTTCAATACCACTTTTGTAGAACGATTTATCTTTTGCGTCAAAATAGGCCTCGGTTTTAGCAATCTCTCCATTCGAGCAACATTTCTTCTTCTTCTTCTTTTCGATTCAATGGCATCAGCAACTAAGGCTATCCGGCCAGTTGGTAACGAACGTTGTTGTTAAATCCAAATGTGGCCACACTCAAGTGGACCTGGGGCGGGCCCATCCACAATTGGGTTGAAATTATTATCCAGGAACTTGTTAAGCACAGTAAGCTAAAAATAATCCAGTTATATCATACAGGCGAAAACAATGGCTGTCCATGCACTACGAAGACATCGCACTAGCAAGCACATATTTCTTACCAGTGAGCATTTTTGTAGCTTCTTAGAAAAACACATTTTTCTTTGTCACAGCATGTCCCATCAAAATTTTGTAATGTAGTAATTATTTTTTGTATCGATGAATCGGTGCAAGTTTTCTCGAGGTATACTAAGTAAACATGACTTTTAAACATTTGTAGGGAATTAATTTTATTCATCTCAATGTCCAATGTGTTATATAATTTAGGTCCTAGGTAAGTATGGAATCTTTGTGCAATGGTTTTTTCTGGTTTTGGTATTTTAAGGGTGTTTGTTTTGTGTCTTGTGTTATGTATATGTGATATTCGAACGAAACTTTCTTATTTTTGTGTTGATACACGAGAAGACTGTGACAGAATAATTAGCATCAAGTACTTTGGTCTCGGTGTATATCAAGTCAGATGAGAATCGTCTTGTTTGGTGTAATGTAATTTTCAATTTGGTATTTTAAGGGCGTTTGTTTTGTGTCTTGTGTTATGTACCTATATGTGATATTCGAATCCAAACTTTCTTATTTTTGTGTTGATACACGAGAAGAATGTGACATGAATAATTAGCATCACGTACTTTGGTCTCGGTGTCAAGTCAGATGAGAATCGTTTTATTTGGTGTAATGTAATTTTCAAAAGAAATGTCTGTATAGTTTCAAGATTTCGTATCAGAGTTTTATTTGCTCCTCCCCAGAAAACGATTCTCCTAATGAATGGTAAATTATTTTCATTTGTTTCACTTTCAGGATTTTTGATAAATATTTGAACTTATACAGTATCTCATTTTTTTCATGATATTATTGATATGCGTTTCCCATTTCAACTTGGGTAGTATTAATCAAGAGTGTAAGCTTATTATATTCTGGTAAATAACTTTCATACGATGCGAATGGAATATAAATTTGATCATAGTTGATTGTTAGTAATTTTGTATCAAACCAATGCATAATTTTAGGAAAATCTCTCTCAACCTCAGTTTTCACGCCTTCCATGATAAATCAATATAAATAACAGCGGTATCGTCTGCAAAAGTTAATATTTCCCTTTCGGTTTCTAATTCAAATAAATCGTTTAAGTAGATTATGAATAATATTGGCCCTAGAACCGTTCCTTGGGGTACTCCATATTTTATATAAAAAACGTCGCTGTAAATTTCCCCTATTTCCATACATTGTTTCCTATCTGATAGGTAGGTAAATTCCCAATAACTCTAGAAGTTTTCTGTATTCATAAAGAAGACAGCTTGGATTAGTTAACATTGAATAACAATGTTGGGTCTTCAATCTCAAGATAAACTTTGTCTTCATCCTATGGTTACTAGAAGTTATTCCCTCAAGAGAATAATCCATCGATTCATTTTATGGAATCGTAATTTTCAGGTTCTCTTCAAAGTTTCCAGACTTATTTATTGGGACATCCTGCACCAAAGTCCCATAAATTTCACCTCTCTGAACTTTGCGTAGACTCTTCACGAAACTGTTTTATATTGGAAACCTCCCGTGAGGGTCTTATGGATAAAGTTCGCTCAAGTAACAAGAGTATAAGTTTTCATTAGTTAGATGATCAATGGAATATGTTCTTGACAACAAAATTGACATCATTTAGCGTTACTCATTTGAAAGATCAACAATGTCCTTTTGCACTATTTCAGTAAAGTATGATATATAGTGCATTTCTTTAATGACCCCTCCTTTTTTTTGGACGAATCAACTCAAAAAATTGAAATTTGGGATAATGAAATTAATGCATGAATACTTTATTTCGAAGTGAAATTGACAGATGAAACTTTCAAGATGGCGACTGGGCGGGGGTCTTGTGACACATCTTTTTGAGTCTCCTGACAAATTCTTCACAACCCTAGAATATAATGTCTATATTTTTAACTACTACGAAATGGCAGAACTTTCAATAATTGCCTGAATTCATTGAAATCTAGCTACATAATTTGAGATAATAAGCTTGAGGTCAGTTCAGGAATGGTTGCCTTGAACTACTTGACATATGAACAGCCTATCCGATATTTCACGCCGAACATTTTTGAACACAGTAACGTCAATATCTCTACAAATATTTATTATTCTCTGCCGTATATCCAAAATTGAAACAGGTCCAGTTTCGTACACCTTTTGCTTTGAACAGCCCCATAAAAAAGTCCAAAGGTGTCAAATCTGGCCAGCGGGCTGGCCATTTCAGTGATGAGAGGGTCAACAGTAGTTTCCAGCATATTCAAATACAGTTCCTCTGTTGAATTGTGATCTATAAATAGAGGTCTTACAATATAGTTTCCCAATATTCCTGCCCTAACGTTATTTTTTCTGGATATTGGGTATGTGTTTCCGGGAAAACGTGAGTGTTGGTGTCACTCCAATAACGGCAATTTTGTCTGTAAACATTTCCGTTTAAAAAAATGTACATTCGTCACTATAACAAATATTGTGGAAATAGATAGCATGCCGTGCAATGGTTTTCGTCATGATTTCGCAGAATTATGTTCTTCGATCAGGGTCATCTTCAGTTAATTGGTGTAGCATTTTAATTTTGTATGGATGATACCCATTCCTCTTCAAAAGTCTTCACACAGTAGAAGGAGACACCTCACAAACATTCGCGACGGAATGAGTAGACTGTTCTGGGTTTACTACCACCTCACCAATTATTTGCACTTGCTGTTCTTTCGGAATGGACGGATGACCTGGGGGCTTTTTGTGTACACTACCGGTAGTTGTGAATTTGGATACAAGTTCCCTCAAATGTTTTCTACAGATAGAACAATTCGGAAAACGTTCATTGAATATCCTTTCGGTCTCGTGAAAGTTACGCGT